AAGTTAATTAATTAGATAATAAATTATCAAATTAATTCTTATAATTTGACATTTATTAAAAATTAGTTCGTAAAATTTCTTTAATTACAGTTTAGTTCATGATGTTATGTATTTATTTTAAATGTTTTGTTTCTTGTTATTAATTAATTTAATTGGTTAAATTCATTATTTTAATATATTTTTAAAGGGTTAAATATAGTCTTTTTTTTTTTTTTGTAAGAAAACAAAAGAAATTTTAACATTTAAAATAAATAGAAAATATCAAAATTGTACAAGTATCAAATTTTAGAAAATAATTTAATAATAATATATATATATATATGTTAATTGGAGGGAAGAAAGAGGAAAAGGCGCGCAATGAGAGAGAGAGAGAGAGAGAGAGAGAGAGAGAGAAGAGATTCTCTGAAAGGGGCAATTCGGTCAAGGAAAAATAATAATAATAATAATAATAATAAAGAAAAAAATGAAGATTGCAGTAAATGGTGCGAATTTGCATCTGCAAAGCAGTTTAATTTAGCTAAAACGACAACGTCTTCTATTAGATTTTGGCAACCAGCAATTCCCACGTCATTTTCTTCCTCCGCACAACTGGACCCTCTCTCTCCCTCCACACCTTCATCTTTTTCTCTTTTACTTTTCTCTCACACTCTTGTACTCTCTCTCTCTCTCTCTCTCTCTCTCTAGTAGAGTCATAGTTAGATATTTATGTATATAGGTTATATTGAATATATATATGTCAAGTTGGACAAAGACAGAAGGAGCTATAAATAGGATACAAGTGATTTCATACAAGGCAATGTTTTTATAAGGGTTTTTTTTTTCTCTTTGGGATTCGATAATCTTTCCGAAAGCTGATCATCGACTTCCCGGAGTTACTCACCCACCTCAAAACGACGCAGGTCTGTCTGTTTTTCAAACCCTTTTTTTAAGAAATTTTTTTCTCTCAGTTTCTTCTTATAATAACACACACACACACACATATATATTTATATGTATATTTGAGCATATGAGAGAGAATTAGGGCATGGTTTCTGATCATCCAGTGTTAGATCTGTTTTCAGATAAAAGGATCTCTCGTGTTTTTATTTTTTCTAATTTTTTTTCCGGTTTTAATTTCTTTTACTGCTTTAACGATTGTCAGTACCCAATGTTAGAAAAATTTCTTGCTTCTTTCAATTTTTATTTTAATCTCTTTCTACTTAACTTAATTACTTATTAATCTTCTTTTTCCCCTTATGATTTCCCTGAAAAAGCTGGTTCCTTTTTTTTATGTATAATACATATATTCTCGTTCGCATTTTTTTGGGAGGGCGGTTTGGATTTGGAGAAAGTTTATTTATAATAGGTAGTCATAATTTATCTGAGATCATGATCTAGGTCAAAGTAAGAACTCAAAGCTAAAATATATACATATACATACGTATAATACGTTGCAGTCGATATATATATATGTATCTTATGTGGTGCAATGTCCTTTAACTAAGAAAGACGAAGAGGGATGGGTAGGGAGGGTAAAAATGGTTTTCATGCAGCTATTAATGGCGATACATATTATATACAGTACCTCTGAAACCTTATTCAACATTCTACCATTTTAGAGTTGTGAGTTTGAATTTTTTTGCAGACACTAGGTTATGGGATTTATTTATACATATTTAATATCTAATATTTAATTTTTAATAATTTTCTTTTAGTTTCACCTTCCATTCTGTATATCTGCTTTGTATCCATTAAAAGGATCAGTACTCAAACCACTCCTCTCTTCATTCACCCTCTCTACATCAAAACCTTTCTTACTTTTCTCTGTCTGCAGATTTATAAAGTCATTTAATTTTTATTATAGCTTTCAAGTGTATAAATATATGTATCTGTATATGCACACCCGTAACAGATCTGTTCTTTCTCTCTTTTTCTATCTTGAAAGATGTTTAAGAACCTTTCTCCTCCGCAGAAATTATATCTTGTTTCTGGGTTTTTTTCTCTTCTTTCAAAAAATGTCACATAAAACAGATGATTTAGTAAAATTTTGCATAAAACAACGAAGTTGAACATTAAATTTCTCAAAACTAACTTACTATCATAATTAATTAACATTCAAGCAAGAAAGATATATAATGAAAGGTGATGGGTTTTCTTTACAGGTTGGTGCAGAAATATAAAGAGGATATATATATATATATATATATCGGTGCTTGGACCATATAAGAGAAAAATAAGATCAAATGGGTAGAGGAAAGATAGAAATCAAGCGGATAGAAAACACGACGAATCGCCAAGTCACCTTCTGCAAGAGAAGAAATGGATTGCTGAAGAAAGCTTATGAGCTGTCTGTTCTGTGCGACGCTGAAGTTGCTCTCATCGTCTTCTCAAGTCGTGGTCGGCTCTACGAGTACTCGAATAACAAGTAAAGATTCATTTTCCATTATTCTTTTCTTAAGATTTTTTATCTCTTCTAATTTCCATTTTAATGCTCAAATACATTTTTTCGTCCTTAATAATAATATTATCATGTAGTAAATTTAAATTTGATGTTTTGTGTTCTGATTTTTTTTAATTTGAGATCATGTGTTTTTATTTTAACAACTCATTATTTTTAAACGTTAGTTAAACCCACTATCTAACAGAGTGTTAAAAGATAATTTAACATACTAGTTAATTAATTTAACTCACATTTGAATTCTGAAATTATTAAAAAAAAAAAATTATAAACTCTTTAGTTACAGAACTTCAAAACATAAGAAGTAAATTTTGAATTTATTATTATTATTATCTTTATTGAGAGTTTAACTGTAAGTAAAAGTTGCTAATTAGGTTGATGAATTATCTGGGGTTTGGTATTTCTAGAGGTAGAGGGCTGCAGCTTTTTCCATTTATGACAAGATACAACCTTGAATTCTTCTCGTTAAAACTGATATAAGAGAAGATTTAACAGGAAAACGAGGTTTTGGACGTATATATATATATATATATATACACACACACACATACATATATATCATCCAAAAGAAGAAAAATTATTAACAGAAAAAAAAAAAAGTAAGACAAGTTTTCTTCTGTGTTTTTGGTTTTAAGGTTAACTAGCCCGCCTCTAGTATGATTCAGTAGGACACTAATACACATGCTCTGAGAAAAAAAAAAAAAAAAAAAAAAAGGCATAACTATTACATATGTATATATATGCATACACCTACACATTAGTTATTGTAGTACGGAACCAGTGTTCAATGTATATTGCTAGACGGATCACACACGTGTTTCTGTGTGTGTGTGTGTGTGTGTGTGCATATATATAGTCGCGTGTAAATCTAAAATCAAGGAGATAATTTATTAGAAAAAGTCAAGGTGATATTTGTCATATATACTTTTACATTAACATTTAATTAAATAGAATTAATTAACGTTATAAATCATATTTGCAGAGGATGAAAATCAAATATAATAGAGTTTACATATACAAAACCTATTTGCTGATCAGGATAAAAAATATAATTATACTTTTTACGTACATGGCAATAGAAACAAACAATCAGTAATAATCAAGAACTTGAGTAGTCAGGCTATATATACATAGATATTTATAGATATATAGATAAAGAGAGAGAGAGAGGGAGAGTTTCATGAAAATAGGTAAGACAACCAGTTACCAGTTCTTTCACAATTCAAATTCATATTTAAGACTCTTAATTTGAATACCATTTTTACATCAGTTTAGTGAAAAGAAGGGGCCACTTCACTTGAGTTGTTTCAGAGTTGCTGTTTGGAAATTCCCTCATATATATAAATAGGTGTATGCATGTGTGTGTATATATATATATATATATATATGGGTGTTTAGAGATATATATGTATAGATGTGGGGCAATTTAAAAACAATAAACTGATTTTGTTTTTGAGGACGGAGTCTCTGATTCTTTCCTCTTTCATTGTTTATAACATCCCAGGCTTCATGCTCTTTCTATTTCTATTTTCAGCTTTCAGTGCTTCTTCTTGTCTTTTTCTGGTGACAAGAATTCTAATTTGAATATTCATTGTATTCCATTTTTAATTTTCTTTTTCGTTTAGGGTTTCTTTTTAGAAAGAAGTTACTGTACAAGTATTACTGTAACTGAGTAGGTGTTTTGCCTCTCCAACGGTCAATTTACAGACACACACAAAACCTAATAAGTAGTTAAAAGTGTTTTGAAGATAAATTAATAAATTCCAAACTCATTTCAAGTTTTTCATTAAAACAAATATAAAGTGTACTACTGGATGGTTAAAAAATTGTGACTCACCAAACCAAATCAAATTCATTAAGTCCGTCGTGGTTCTAAAACAGAAAACAATTAATTACAAATTACCATGTTAATTTAAACCACTTATTATTGTTTTGTGTGTTTGTGTAGCATAAGATCAACAATAGACCGGTATAAAAAGGCATGTTCTGATAGCTCAGCTACAACTTCTGTTACAGAAATTAATGCTCAGGTAATTTTTTTTTTCTATATATATATATATATATATATATATATATATCTTTATTACAAATTTCTAAGTCACTTTCTTTATTCATTTTATTTTTGTAGCTGAATTTTTTATTTTTTTACATTAACATTCATTTGAAAAAAGAAAACAAAGTTAAAATCTTGTTAACCTAGAAGCTAATGTTTATAAAAGTCTGCAAGCCTCATTAAGATAGTAAAAAGCTAGTCCAAAAGAAAAAGAACATCACGTAGGCAAACCATAAGAGAGGTCTCAACTTTAAACTAGAAGACATAATAGATTTCGAGTTGATATAGTGTAGAATTAAAAAAACAAAAAAAAAAAGAACATCAATTGCAAAGATAAAAAAGAAACGATCAAAATATCGTTTATCACTAAATCCTAAATATAAACTCTGAAATATTATTATAGATACTAAAAAATTCTAAACACATAAAAAATATCATAAACCCTCCAATTTTTCTAGTATGATTGTCCTTCAATTCGATTAAATAAGAAAAAAAGAGACAAATGCATATATTATTAGTAAAGCATAATAGGTAGAGTGTGGAATAGTCTTCATTATTACCTTATACTTTTCGTTGAATATTTTGCTAGCCTTAAGAGATAAATAGTACCAAATAGAATTTATTTGTGATATAAAAGTATTATACTCTCGATATAACTATAACGAAAGAATAAAAATATAATTTAGATAGATAACATGATTGCATCTAACTTTGTCCTTGCTACTTAACACACTACCAAAAAAAAAAAATTCAAAGAAACAAGTAACTGTGTGTATAATAAGCACTAAACAACTAGATTATGCAAACAAAAAAATGTTAGATGAATTCTTGTAAACCATGGCACTAAGTCAACGACCTTTTCTCATCTTTACTAATACCTTAACCATGAAACTCATCTTTATTTAAGTTACGAAAAGAAATGGTTCTGATCTTTTCAGCTTCATTTAAAAAATATAGTTGTATTTTCAAGAAAACTTGCCTATTACAAATCAAAAAACAACTATCTTAAATTTTTTTTTTATATTTAGATTTAGAAAACACGTAGAGTTAAGAAATCTCATTATAAATACTACTTGAAGGAAAGCTAATAATTTTAGTATATAAAGATATTGACAACCATATCTTTTGAAAAGCTATACATGATACTACTATTTTGCTCCCTTAATGCCCAAGAATACTTAAAAGACCAATTTTTTTTTTTTAAATTGAATTTGATAGATCTAACTAGAGATCGGATCCAAAAAAAACGTAGAGAATTATCAATCTAGCAAACAAGTGCCAAGTCCCAAGAGGGAGATTACTAGTTCATTGATTGAACTGAGCACATGTTATACTCCAGCATGAGTAATTTAATCCACTAGACTAATTTTAATATGGTTTAAATCTTAAATTTTATCTATAAAAGTAAAATTTGACTTAAAAATCATTTCATTTCTTACTAATCACAAATACTAAATTAGCGTATAAAAAGAAATCACTTTATTACAAATAGGTGGTCTATATCTATAACATATGAAAAATAAAGATTTTACTTATGATGAAGAGCATCATAAAATTCACTATCAAGAAAATATTTTACCCATATAAGTTAAGAATTCTTGCAAGAGAGGCAAAAATGATTAATAGTTCTATTGACTTCCTTGTCTGGAAGAACATACATTTGGGATCTATCTCATGCATTGACCGTGATGCAAGTAATTAAAATTAGCATTTTATCCATGAAAAGGTGTCAGCAAAAGAAATCTATTTCAATTAGTACAGAAGCATTCTGTACATTTGTGCATCAATGGAGGGTTCAATGTGGTATAAATTAGAGCCAATGACTATCCCTCCTTCATATCAATTTATTACCTATAAGTATGTGCAGGATAATCACCTTGAGAGCTTCCATGAGGGGTGACTATTAATCCACATCCCAAACAAAAAGCTCTTGTTCTTCAAATCTATGCAAATTCTTGCAAGACACATAGTCCCAAGAGTCTCATCTTGGTTCGTAGATAGATTTTAGGTAAGATTTTTAACATAAAGATAAACCACCCTAATTATACGTTTAAGCTTGAAAATATATACTAATTAAAAATATGTGTGCGACTTAACTTTCTATGAAAAAATAAAGCCCACAAGTTATACGAACTAAGTATCATTAACTTAGAAAGAAAAACTAAAACAAATAAAGCATACCCAGTCGTTGTCTTGTTCGCATCATGTTTTTCTCTCTTCAAATCCAGAAAATTTAATAGTCTATTCAATTCAAGTTAATTGATCATCATCTAACTTTTCTAAATGCAGTACTATCAGCAAGAATCAGCAAAGCTGCGGCAACAAATTCAAATGCTACAGAACTCTAATAGGTAAAATAGAAATGGAACGTTACATATATAATTAACCCTATTACAGTTTTGCTCTAAATATTTAATTAAATTGAAAAATAAAATTGTAGGCATTTGATGGGGGATTCGCTGAGTGCTTTAAGCGTGAAGGAGCTAAAACAACTGGAGAATAGGCTTGAACGCGGCATTACCCGGATCAGGTCTAAGAAGGTGAATCTGGAAAATTATATATATATATATATATATATATATATATATATATGCAACTCTTTCCTTTTTCTTTATTTAAATACTGATTTATTATTATTATTATTTAATTTTCTTTGTTTGTTTTGGTTTCTTTTGACTGCAACAGCATGAAATGTTGCTAGCTGAAATCGAATACTTACAGAAAAGGGTGTGCTTTCTTTTCTCAGTAGATTATTTCTTAATTAATTAACAAATTTAATTGCTATAATTAAATTTTCTGGTGTAGGAGATTGAGCTGGAAAATGAAAGCGTGTGTCTTCGGACTAAGGTATTGGGTTTATTTTTAAGTGAAATAGTTTAATATTCTCATTTTATATAAACCTTTTAAAACTATCTTTATGTATCTAAATTTCCTAACAAAAACAAATTTAAATTCACAACTACAAAAACAAAAGTCAAAATATTATAAGATAAAATTCATCCATATCTTTAATTCTAAAATTATAAATTTAAATTTTTTTTAAAAAAAATTCAACATTGTAAAAGTAAATTACAAAAATATTTAATTTGAATTGTGCATGAGATTGACTTGAAATCATAATACTATTCTCATTCAATTGTTTCTATTCCATTTATAGGCTCATTTTTATTTATTGAAGTGACATTTTTATATTTAAAAATGGAAAAAAATCAACCCATATAATAAGATTAAATCACATAAAATAAAATTAAAATTGTAAGATGTTTCTAGTGCAGTAATTATATATATATATATATATATATAATAGAAATGAATATAAGTAGTGATGTAAATGTGGAGATTTAATTTTCAGATAGCAGAAGTGGAGAGATCACTCCAAGTAAACATGGTTACAGGGCCAGAGCTGAATGCAATCCAGGCATTAGCTTCTCGCAACTTCTTTATTGAGAACGAAACTACCTACTCACACGGCCCTGACAAGAAGATTCTCCATCTTGGGTGTGTATCTCATTACTATACAAACCCTATAAAATATATAATATGCATATACATTCCCTATACTTACATTCGTATAATTTCTTGTTAATTGCATTCTATTTTTTAATTGAGTTTCTTACTTTACACATGTTTTGAAGGGTAAATTATCATTTATAAATCTCAATATTAAGATTTTTTTTTTTTTTTTTATTCTTTAAAATTTTTTGTAATTTAATGAATATTTTACTAAGAAAAATATTGGATGAACAATGTGAAATTTTAATCATATATCTTTGTGCAAAGGTCAATCTAGAAACATCGTCATCATGACCTATATACACGTTCTTTTATTGTTTTTTCAGAAAATTATATACATATATATGTATATATATAAATCACTTAGAAGATGATAGAAATATTTCTCAAGGAACAAGAGTATTCTTGACGTACGCTTTTATATATATATATATATATATATATATGTATTATATTCTTGGTATGCATGTGTATCTAGAATTTTATGATTTCTTAGCTAAACGATTTAAATTATATAAAAAAAAAGGAACAGTATAAAATACTCGTGCGTATACATCTATATATATATATATATACATGTATACTCGTGTCTTTCTTCTACATGGGATTAAGCATGATAAGCACTTACCAACTTCTCCTTCGTTTACTAATGGGTATGCTACGCAGGTAACTCGTTGGAGACGGACGAGTCTGCCAATTGCCCCTCAAGATATATATATATATATATATATATATATATAGACTAAATATCCATTTGATTTGATTTCGAGAACATGTATGATGTTGATGTTTTACGTTTATCAGCTGCCATCATAATTATTACTAGAAAAATGTTATACTCTTATTACATTATTATATTTTCCATTGGTTTTACTTTTATCAACTGAAATTATAATTTCTATTACTGTTATTACAATTACTTTAAAAAATTTTACAGTCATCTCAATCTCACAATTAAATCAGTTTTTTCAAACACAAGGCATTATATATATATATATATATATATATATATATATATATGCATGCATATTATATGGTTAAATAAATACATCATGTTTGAATGGTTGAAACTTAAATGTAGCATAAAATCACACGGGACAGGAATAAGGGAAGGAATAACGAGTCAAAAGGAGGCAAATGGTTCTTACATGACTTCACCCGTAACCCCATTAACAATACATGTCACAGAATAACACATTTGCCATGGAATTGTTCACGGAGCTCCTTCGTCTCCTTCTGAGATTTCTCAAGATCCCTCCTGAGCTTCTGAATTTCATCATCTGCTCTCAATCTTGCAGCTTGTTCCTCCCCCAGTTTTTGCTTGAGGTCAATAGCTGTTTCTTTGAGCTTTGATTCCAGCTACAGAACAAAAGTATTTTGAATTTGGAACCAAGCTCAAATGAATGTCCAAAAACTTTTCGCATTGTATAGTTTCTAAATCAAAATCACTTGCATGCTTAATTTTTATAGCAAAATTATTTATTAAGTTCCAGACATGAGAAAATACAATCTCGGAGGATAAGACAGTGACCTAAAGCCCAAGTCTTAAGGCTAAAACATCAAATCAGTCAGAACCCAAAAGTCAGTTATCTTTTTGCCCCTCATCTGCCCTCCACCCCAAAAAATCAAGGATCCAAATACAAAATCCCTCCCAAAACAACACGGGTTATCATCTCCCACTCTGAGGCGGGTAAGGGGGATAAATAAATCATGGAAACTGGAGACAGCCTGCTAGAGGCTTTTGCGAGCAGCGGAGTTTCTGGCAAAATCTCATACATTCTGTGACTACCATGAATATTTGTGGTCACCTTGTGCCACGGAGAATAAGATTCCTATGGATAATGCCAAAGTCATTTAACAAATAGGGATCCTAGGAAACTAGATTTCATATGCCCAAGCCATCGTTCGTTCTAGAAATACAATGCATTTCCGACCTCACCAAGAGATCAGTAGAAACCTCTCTAGTAAAAACCCACGAGAACTTTCACACAATCCTCTCCAAAATTCTGATTACCCCCACGGTGATTTCAAGCAAAGATAAGTACTGCCAAAGAAATAACCTCCTTTCTAGCACTTAGGTCTTTTGAAAACTCTATTGACAACATCATCGCAAAATGGTACTGACCTAGAGGTTCCTCCAATGGAACACTTAAGTCAATAATTGGCAACGTGACCTAGTACAGCATATAACCTCTATTGCCAAAGAATATGTTTTTATTAATGTGACTCTACTGCCAATGAAAATAACCTCCTTTCTAGCACTAAAGTCTTTTAAAAACTCTATTGACAACCTCATCCCAAAATGGTACTGACCTAGAGGTTACCCTCCAAAGGAACACCTAAGTCAATAATTGGCAACGATAACCTAGTACACCATAACCTCTACCAAATCCTCGATAATATAATCCTCCACATTAATCCCCATGAAACCACCCTTAATTAGGTAGATAGAAAGGCTCAAAATGATAACAAAATTTTGAATAAGGGTGAATGCATTCTTAACCAACCTCTCACAATAAAAATTAATATAGAATGATTTGCAAACTGGAGGCGAGACACTTCCACAATATCCTTTCCTACAACAAGTCCCTTGACCAAACCTCTCTCTGACCTCCATAACAGTACCTGACTTAGTACATTGACCACCAAACTAAAGAGAAAAGAAGCATCATGACTTACCATTAACAATTACTGCAAAGGATACTGACAATAAGCATCCATAAATCCATCTTCTCCGTCTATTCCTAAACCATTTTCTAATCATCACTCTTGAAAATTTTCCAATTTATTCTATCATAAGCTTTCTTCAAACCTAATTTTAAAACTAACCTTCGCTTTGGATTTCTTAACATATTCCACCACTTCATTAGCGATAAGAAATTGCATCCAGGATTTGCCAGCTGCCCATAAAAGCATCTTAACTTAAAGAAATCATATGAACCCAAACCCTTGCATAATCCTGAAGATTGTACCTTAATAATGTGATCTTCTACACGCTAGTCATTCAACTTAAAGCAGAACAATCATATACCTTCTTAGATTTTCTTTTTTAGGCAGTAAGGTGATGAAAGTCAAATTTATGCTCTTACTAACATTCCCATTCAGATAGAATTCCTCAAAAACCTTCATCACAGCCACCCTAACAAAATCCAAGACATTTGGAAGAGCTACAGAAACTCAAATGCTAAATCTTTTTAATATTTACTGTTTCTTTGAGCTTCTACTCCATCCAAAGAACAAAAGCGTTTCTAATATGAAACTAAACTCCCAATAAATCTCCAAATATTTTCACATTTTATGAGTTCCAAATCAGAATCACTTGCACGCTCACATCTATTTATTCATCAAAATATCCTGTCAAACACCCTCCCACATGAAAAATGTATATAGCTCCAAAATGACAGGCCTAGACCTGTATTGTACGCTAACTTTTCAAGGAAAATAATTGTTAAGCAAAATGGCTAGTCTGGTGATGATCGTGATAATTGCAGAACAAACCAATGAAAACATTATCCAAGAAACTACAAAATTTCACGCATGACGCCAAAATTCATCAGATCCTGACATATATTTGCAATGCTCCAGATTAGCTGCCCAGAACTCAGGGAAACCCATGAGTAAGAACTCAAGAAAATGCATGAACCTAGTACAAGATACTAAAAAGGAGACACTAGCAGTTTCTTTAGTAAGTGCTATCAGACATAACAAAAGCTGGGCCCCTTCTTTTGCATCAACATTATTTAAGAATAAAATTTATCAAAACCTACTATAAAATTGTCTCAAATTTTACGCCTAAGGCACTATCACCGCCAGCACTTCTAATCTCGAGCACAAATGCAGGAAACTGAACATGCTTTGATACTAAACACTAACAAGGCCTCAAAGGTTCTAGTGCTTATGTGCCTGATGTAGATTTGCATTTGATAGAAACATAATTCGGACAAAATAAAATACAGATTTATGATGTCTAACACAAATGTAAAAATCAACACGTAGACAGATGTAAAACCAAAGTGGCATAAAATAGTACCATGTCCGTGATCCGCTTGAGCTGTTCTTCATATGATCTCTGCATCTGCTCCTTCAACTCAGATATTTTTTGCTCGGAATACCCCTTCAGAGAACCAACCTCCACTTGTTGATCATGTAGTTTCCTAGCCCCTTTCTATCAATAGTTAAATGTCAAAATGTAAGGATATGTTTAGAGTAAAAGATGCAGCAGAAGTCGTACCATATTGAGACTCACCTTCAATTCGACAAATAACTCATCATCATGTGTGTACGGTTGTCCATCATTCTGCGCTATGACCACATTAACCAGAGAAAGCAGTTGTTGAACCTGTTCCTCTCTCTTAGCTTCATCTTTAGTCTTGTTATCAAAAAGCACCAGACGATTTTTACACAGGACAAGGATTTCCTAAAAGTTGGTGTTAACTGAGAAAAATTAGTATCCTACATCTCTGCCATTAAAATATTTTATAAAGAAACTAGCAGTCTAAAGATTTAAGAATGTAATGCTGATGCATCCATCAAAACACAATGTTGTACTCTTAAGTCTTCCATTTCTAGATACCCAAGAAGTTAGCTGAAGAAAAAGTTAGCAACACCAATAAGACTAATAGGTTTTGAAGTTTCAAGTGCACCATTTAAGTCCACTAAACTGCTTTTATACAAACGACGTTATTACCATTTGAGGCACCTCAAAACCTAGACATTCCAGAAGGCAGAGCAGAAACTCCCACTGAAAATTCTTGCACAGTGATATTACTCCATTTCTTTGAGATAAAAAGTATGAAGTGTATATTAACAAGATATCAAAAACGGGGATACTGCCCATGTACAAAGATTTACAAAAGGGTTAAAATGTCAATGATATTTTCCAAATCTACCTCCCTAATAATGTCATGATCTAACAAAATGGTCCCAAAATAATGTATTCATCTATTTCTTAATCTACTTAACCCATTCTAGCATTTCTCTCTTTCCAAAGAACCCAAAAAACAGTCAATAGAATCAAATTAGCTATATTTCTTTTTGTGCTTAGGCCTTCCCACGCCCAAATTTCCTCACATACACTGACATTACTCCATGAGGAACAAATATTACAGTCTCATTTAAAACATATGCATAACAAATGGAAAAATAAATTGTTGGAGACAGATAGATGCAGGGAACTAACACACTGGAAAGGACATCATCATTTTCAAATGCATTATTCAAACTTTCCAGTCCAGTTACATAGATTGGACTTTAGAGATTTCTCTCATCCTAGAAAAAGCAAAATAATATCACATACAACAAAGTAAAAACTTTAACAAGAAAAAATTGCATTTTCTTCTTATGACTAAGTAACCAGACCAATGATTTGTAACAAACCATTATGGAAATTAACCTTTAAAGGCTCTGGGCATTTACGACCTAAGTAATCATCCAAAGTCTCCTCATTATCTTCAAGGTCATCGCCCCCAGTGAAGATAACAATCATGTAGTCAAAAATTTTTCTCCCAAACAAAGTCTCTAAGCTACGAAGTGCAGCTTCTTCTTCTTGTGAAAATCGGCTCCTCACTGAAAAAACTACCAGGACTGCATGGATGCCACCCTTGGCCAAAGCAATACATTTGATTATTTCTCCGCCAATAAATTCAGACTCCGCAGAAAAATCAAATAAACCTGTGATTCCTTGCACAATTAGTCTTTGATGCTGGCGAAGTTTTTTCTTAAGCATTAATACTGGCAAACTAAAAGTTAGGTACTGAAAGGAATTAGCTAATCATGCCAAACTTTTAAATGCAACATGTCAAGAAAACATGTAAAGAACACAAGTTTGCCTTGATGAACATACCAGGAGTGTCAATTACATTAATAACTTGACCATTCTTTAATTCAGTACTTTGCATTTCGCAAGTACCAGTAACACCAGAAGAGCTGGCTTTCGACTTGAAAACCCTTCCTCCAAGAATGCTATTGCCAGTTGCACTTTTCCCGTTGCCAGTACGTCCAACTAGAACCAGTGTCTTTACCCCATCATATGTGGATGGAAACTCCCAATCCTCATCCATTGCACTTCCACCCATTATGCAATATCAGAACCACCTGTACTAGGGCCAAATAAATATACAGATACTGTTAGATGATCATGGTCTTAGAAATTTAAGGTCTGTTTGGGAGAGAAAAGAGAAGAGGAACAGAGTAAGGGAAACAAAAGTTACTTCATGGTTCCACCAAAGCAATAATTATGACAAAATATATTGAATGGAAATGAATCAGTTGGAAAAAAATCAAATTGCTCATTTTCTTTCCTTCCTTGCTTCTTTTTCCCTTCAGATACATAGTACTATATTAAAAGAAAACTTAATGGCATCCACTATCATGATCATGCAGTTACCATCATCACCATCCTCATAGTAATGAGAAATCAACCGACAGGAAAATATATGAAGCAGCTTATATAATCATGTCAATACCCACCACCGGCATTATAAAATTGTCATCATCATCATCATAATAATCAAAACACAAAATCAAGGTATAGCCAAAGAAGTCAGTGCAATCATAAGAAATAAATTAACCAACAACTCGTGAAATATGTCAAGGAATTTGATCTTCAATCTACATGAAGTTGACGTTAAGAAGTCCCAACAGAGACTAAAAAAAGGAACTAAGCTAATAATACGAATTCACCAGGAGAAGGAGAACCGTCAGCGTCCTACTTTTTTCTCAGCGACTAAGCAGAGAGAGAGAGAGAGAGGCAAATAAAGCGACTAAATCAGATGCGTGAAGATAAATTCCCTAAACCAGAAGAGAAGAAAGCAAAAACAGAGAATACGGTGGCGAAAAGTGGATGAAGGAATACCTGAAGATTACTTACTTGAAACTAGAGAGTGAGAATACAAAGAGGAAGGGTCAAACTGATTGTTTCGATTGTTTTCCTAGTCTTGAAGGTGACGATCGAGTTATCTGGGCCCTTGATCTGGCGCACTAATATATCCGACGGTAAGAGTATTTGAAAGGTTTTTTTTTTTTTTTTTTTTTTTAAAGAGGCGAAAAATACCATTTAAAAAAATAAAAAAATAAAATTTATTAATTTATAACTAATCTAAATGAAGATAATTTAATCTTTATAATAATTTAATGTTAAATTAAATTTTTATAATAATTTAATAATATATTAATAAATTAAAATTTTAAATTTTTAAAATTAAATATTATAAACTAGTCATTATTAATTTATAATCTATTCATAAACTCACAACATTTACCTTATTAATGAAATTTAAATTTATAATATTAAAAAAAAATATATATAAAAATTTTTAATTACCAAACCACTATCTTAATAATCACCTTCATTGTTGACCGATAAATTCAAATTATTTTATTGATTTGGAACATTAATTATACTTATATATGCTTATAAAATCTATTAGTAATTTTTCTTAAATCTACTAGTTAGTTTCTTAAATTATAGAAGCTGCACAGTAAATATTGAAACATTTAAACATTTTGAATATTAATAATAAATATTATGATTTGACAGAAAAAAATTAATAAAATAAATAATGAAAATTTAAATTATGTACTTTTTATTTAGTTTTAAAAAGTAAAATAATTATTTATATAATACGAATTAATTTATACAAAACGTAATCATATCAATTATAAAATCGTGCAAAAAAACATTTGTTAATTAAAAAAGCTAGAGACAGAATCAACCCATCAATTAACAAATAAGCTTTCACCCCGTGTAAATGTAGTATTTTTCACAGAGCACGGATTAATATTATAATGCCTATTTGATTTTTCTAAGTATAATTTTAATGTAGCTTTTCGTGTTTCATTGGATAATCATTTGATGATTACTTTACATTAGTATAATTTTAATTTAACTATTAACGTTTGATTAGATAATTAGTGATGGTCACTTTCGAATTTGATAATTTACGTCAAATAAAATATATAAATTCAATAAAATTAATAAAAATTATTTTAATATTATGACCAAATTTTGAACTATTTATAAATTTATTTTAAATTTTTTATATTATTTTATTAACCGAGTTTAAATTTATAATGAATGCATCTTTTTTTAAAAAAAAAATAAAAAAGGTCTGTTAGTTTTTTGAGTCAGAAAAATATTTGTTAATTATAAAAAATAATTTGTACTAAAAAAATAAAACCAATTTACAATAAAAACAATTTAGTATTTATTTACAATTATTACCACTACAAAATATATTTTCTGCCTTTAACTATCAGAAAATTGATTTAATTGAGAAAATTTAGCCAAAAAATATATTTACTGATAAAATAAAAAAACATAATAGTCTAATACATGTTAAAAAACAGAGCACAAAGTTCAATTTCTTAATAAAAAATTTAGAATTTCAATAAAAATTATAAAAAAAAAGAAAATCATTTTTCATGATCAAATTACATCATGAAACCAAATAGGCAACTAAGTTCCATCACAATAAAATTAAAGTCTTCAGCTTGAGAAGATTTCAGTAAAAATGTTCAATGGATACTTTCCTTAACAAGTTTCCTCTCTATATCAAAGTTTGCACTACACATATGGACCTACAGGATCTACATACAGTAATTAACAATCAAAGAGTAAACTATGAAGCATTTCAAGAAAAGAACTACATTTTCCTTTTTCCTTTTTTTTCTTTGTTCAATAACTCAAAAACAAATAAGTTAGGTATAAATATTAAAAAAATATATATATTTTTATAGTGTGAACTTTTACGGAATTTGAGCAATTTCCAATAATATCTTATGAAGCGACTGCGGCTTTGAAAAGAAAGGGCAATGGTCGCTCCCTTTGATCTTGAAGACTCCTTCAGGAGGATTCTCCCTCACTAGCTTTTCTTGGATGTCTGAGGAAAGAGCACGATCATCCAGCGTTTGAATGTAGAACCGCCTACCCGTTCCATACTTTTCTAACGACAATGAAAGCTTCTCCATGATAGGACCCAGTGGAGTCGGTCGCATGGAAACCACTGCCAAAGCAACATCCTGGAGTGAACCAATTCCATTGTGTTATAACTAGTCAAAGTCACACTGTCAAATAATTGGTTATTACTAGTTAATAAAAAAATTTACGCTGATGGCTATACATTAACATATTCCTTCAACTACGAGTCCCTCATGCTAAATAGAAGGATTAAGTAAATACCTTATGTCCCTTCTCTTAAAATTTAATCAATAAAATTGGTCAGTAGCAAAAATTTTGACTACTAAATCTTCGACTCTGATAATATACGGAATAATCGACTATAACTAGTTATATAAGAAACGTAGCCCGATAGAAAAGAAACTAATTCAACTTTCACAAGCTAGCATAATCCAGACAACAGCTTGTTCATGTGAAACAACAATGAGAAATGACAAAAGCGTTTGCTGAATGCGACAAATTTGCATCCAAAGACATGAATTAAACAAATACAAGTTAGTCATCATATAAAGATAAATTATTACGAGAACTTCACAGTGTATCTGGTCATCTTTCTTTTCTTTTCCTTGGAAAAAGTTGATGGGGGAATTTTTCTTCACATTATTAGGGATAAAGCATCGAGTGCACGCAGAGAATGTCTAAGAGTCAGTATAAGATACAGGAAATATGACCAAGCAATAAATATTTCACATTGTATCCACATACCTTTGTTGGTGATTGATTGAAATATAAAGCTTTAATTTGCTGTTTCTCAAACATGAATGCTGTTGCTGGTTTGTCTTTTCCGTTCCCATAAACTAAAAACTGAGATTCTTGCAGAAAACGCTCAGCAGAACCAAGCTGCATGAATAACCAAGTTCAGGCAAAAGAATCAGACAAAAGATCAAACATCATCCAGAAGAAAGAGATCCACTAGAAAATGAAACTACCAAAACGAATCAGATGGTAAACCTATATCTTCAGGTCAAAATTCTAACTTCTATCTATGTTATAACTGAATCATTGAAATCAAATAATTTTTTCTTGACAATCAGATGGTAAACCTTGGTAACACACCTCTTCAGCAAAGACATCGAAAGGCCTCTGGCCATTGGACACCATTGTCGCACAAATGAAAATTGCTTTCGAAATCTTTTCCGGGAAATGCTCCAGTGCATAAGAAATGCATGCACCTCCAGTACTGTGACCAACCAAAATAACCTGCAAAAATATCCTTACAACATGATACTTTACTTGATATAGTTTATGCACATAATATGTCTCATATCTTATTCGCCACTTCGTTTGCTAAGGATAAAATGGAACATTGAATGAATTAGACTTATGTTGAAATCTCCTCTGACCTTTTCATCCTCGGGAAGCTTTTCTAAGTAATCAATCAACGGTTTTGAATACTCTGCCAAAGTAGTAACTCCATTTGGGTCTGTCGGACTGATACCAGATCCTGTGAGGTCTAATGCAGTAGGAAGCATTCCAGCTTCCTCCAACAGAGCAATAGTTTTGTACCAACACCATGCTCCAAATCCTTCTCCGTGTAACAAAACAAACTTCTTCACTTTGATATTCTCCAAGAAATCCGGCACCTGGTAAGGTATCCATAATCAATTTATCGAAACACACTACTGGGTCACTCTATTCATGGCAAGAGAAGGAAAAAAGGAGTCTAAGAACAAAAATACTAACTTAAAAGAGATGGTACTAAAAATGAAAAATAAATTATTAAGGTAACATACTGCATATTCCAATCTACGGATCCAGGAGCAGCTTACAACACATGATAAGTCAAGGAAAAAATAAGAAGGATGTAAAGAGTTGGACGGATAAAAAGATGTCACAGTAAACCGTGACATGTACAGCGGAAAGATTTCAGAAGTTGCCATTGTCGAGGCCTTACAAACAGGTCTTTTGTCATGCTATGGAAGATGATGGCCTGTAAGCCAACAGAAGAAGAAGGTAAAGTAAGAATTGGACTAAGTCTCACTGGTCTCAAGAGAAGAGACAGCCTTCTTAATTGGTGCACAGCTCCCTAATTGACAGCATGAGTCTCCAAGACCTTTTTCAGGAAGTTATACCTTAAGACACTGTTCCAATACACGAGACGAAATAGACAAACAACTATGCTTTATGCAAAACTTGAAAAATTCCCTTCTTGAAACAATTTTAGTGCAAAAGAAGAGTTTGGCCTGAGTTACACATGCCACAAGATTACAATTCAAAACCTAGCAATCCTAATCGAGTTTTTTCTGACTGGTTTTCTCAGAGGCTGATGCCAACTATATTATATGCGTGATCAATAACACAAATATGCCTACACCCAAGTGAAAACAACCAGATGAACATGAAGTGATTCTTGAACCTAAAGGGTGATCATAGCATGTCATGTCTATCCAATTGTGAGTGCTTCTGGATGAAAGCTAGGTAGAATATGCAACTATGGAAACAGGGAATTTTTTTCTAGAGAAAAATTCTCCCATCTACAGCAACCGCAATCTCATGCTAGAAGAGCTAGTTAGCTGCCAATCACTTCTATCTTACAGGCTTAAAGCATACAACAAAATATATACTATATATATTCTTGATTCACCAGCATAAAATTTACTTTAAAGCATGTACTTGAATTAAAACATATACTTAAATCGAAAGCTCCATCCTCATCCAGATCCACTTTTGAGCTTGCAATGATAAATAATGGTAGTAGTGATAAAAGAATCCCCTTTTAAAATCTCTCCTTTTCCCAACATCAACTTTTTCGTAATTTGACTAATGATTACCGTTTTGCTTGAGTTCATAATTAAAAAATTGTTCACTTTTTGCTAATATCTTAGACTTAAAGACCTTAATTATCATAGCCCCAACTTTCCATCAAAGATCCAACGATCCAAAACGAGTAATCACAGCATGATTGCACGAAAAAGATAAAAAATAATTTAATAAATACTTAAATTACCAAACACCGGTCCCCCGGAAATCTGAATTGAAATTCCAACCTGTTTTCCATTCGAAAATGGATCAGACAAATTGCGTCTTCTCGAGCTGGTCGACCCGATTCGCCGAGACATGGATCCGTCGAACCTCTGGGACAATTGGTGCTGGTGAAGCGCCATTGACAGTGCTTGTCTGTGCAATAACTCTTCGTCTGCAAGCAACTTCCTCTGTGACCGACCCATCCTCTTGCTTCTCGATCCAGGTTCTTTGCTGTCTTTCTTCGTCATGCAAATAAAACGATTACCCATCACTCCAAATCTCTCCCCGGCGAAAACCCAGAAATCTTTTTGCTGAATAGGTGGGAAATTCGAGAGATTTTTTCCCCGGAAATTTTGTCTTCTCTCGAGAATTTAGAATGAGATTCGTTGAAAGAAAAAAGAAAGAAGGTAGATGACTTTTTGTATAAATCCAAACCTGACAAATAAAAAAAATCAAAACGAGTAAATTAATTAAACTCCTTTCTCAGCTGAACTACTGAACTGAACTTGCATTTATTGACTCTTCATTTCTTTCCTTCTCTCCCTTCAAGTTTCAACTCTAAACTACCTCCTCCAAGTCAAACTACCGTCCCATGCCATTTATAGCGTGGGCCCGTTAACCGTTGATGTGAAGCTACTGAAATACAGCCGTTGGATTTTACATTAGCGAAATCTTAACCAGTAACCTTCCCAGCCGGTAAACCGTAAACCATAAACCAGTCTAACTTGCTCATGTCCAAACACTGTTCTTGACCAGTAAACTTAACTAACCACCGTCTCTGCTCTATTTCCCGTTATTTATCATATAGTAATAATATGAATTTTTTCATTAATTATTTATTCATTTGATTTTTTTTTTTTTTTGGTGTTTATTGGCATCACATGATTAGAGCCAACTAGTAGAAAATAAAAATGATTGAACAAATATTATAACGAATGTTAGTACATCGTAATCAACATGATATAATAATAATTTAATTAAATATTGAGGACAAAAAATATTATAACTTTTAAAAATATATTTTTGAAATGTCATTACGAATTCATATTAATTATTATTGTATAATTATTTAATGACATCATACTATAAAAAGATGAATGATTATTTTATAAATAAAAAATTATTGTATGTATTTTTTAAAATATATCTATTTTAAAATGTTATAATTTTGTCTTATTGCATCATATATTATTCTTTACGGAAATTCACATCATAATAAATGCATAAGGGCAAGAAATAAAATTAGCAACTATAAAAAAAAATTCATTATTTTTAAATCATGAATCAGGATTATAATTTTAACAAAATAATTATGGTTCAATCAACTTAATATTACAATAAATATTTATTATACAATAATTATTACACGACACATTACCCACATCGAATATCAAGAGTGTGATTAATTCATTCACATTACCATAAACCTCAACTTACCATCTGTTTATCTCATAATAAATAGTATAACTTTAATGTATGTTATTTTACGAACGTGAAAAATTGTGTTTATTTCAATTTTCAATGTTAACAAATAATATTTAACTGGTAAATTTTAGAATAAATTTTTAAACCACAAAATTGGTGGTATTTAACGGACATTCTATTTATTTATAGTCATATTCCTATCTAATTTAATTAATTCTATATGTGTCGTGACAATTAAAAATTTATTAAATTAATGTGATAATGTAAATAATAATTATTTATTTAAATATAAATATAATTATATTGATAAATATAATATATAAAAATAAATTAATAATTTAACTAAAAATACAATCTTACTATAATATAATTCCAATAAAAATATATAATTAATATATATTAATATACTATTATACAAACATAAAAAAATTTTGTAATTATAATTATGTTGTCATTACCGGTCCAAACTTACCCATTCCCTCAATTTTCCGTGTTCGGCATAGAGAAAACCTGGCCCAGCCCGGTTTCAGTGTTATTTAAGGTTTCGTTTTGAAGCTGGAATGAATGTCTGGTCGATACACGCAGAGGAAAGGAGAGGTCTGTGGTTTTCTTCGTAATGGAAATTCTGGGAAGTTGAGAACGGAGCAGAAGAGACCAGATTGATGCTCGGATCGAGAGAGGAGCAGAGTAGCAGCGGGAGAGAGAGAGAACAAATTGGGGGGAGAAGCCTGAGATGGAGATTAACAGGTGAGATAGAAAAATTGAGGGAGCGTTGTACTCAAAACCGACAGAAGAGGGTTTTCTTTGGGTTGTAGAAGTGGATTAGGGCACGGATCAAAGAAGATAGAGAGCTGCGATTGAGGGCAAAGTAGAGAAATCAGAGGAGAAGATTTAGGTTTTGTAGGGTGTTGTTGGGTCCTAAACCCAGAATGGATAGAAATGGGGGAACCGAGGGTGATTCTTGGCAAGTCAGAAGAGCATGAGCTGGCATACAATTATTTTGGGTTCTTTAGAGAGGTGGACAGAGGATTAGCCGTGTGTCCTTCCTCATGACCGAGAAAGAGAGAACCGGAGAGTGTAACAGGGAGAAAGGAGCTAAAATCTGTCGTAATTGGTATCGATTATCCTGTCTCTTTCTGTTAGTCTCTCTCGTCTCGTCTTTCTTTGTTATTGACGATCTACTATTCAGTTGGACTAATCCTTGTTCAGGTCAGGAGTGGCCTTTGTTGCCGGAGCCGTATACGGCGCGAGGTCGTTTTCTTGCCCACGCATCTGAACGCATGTTGATATTCTAATTGACGGGTGAACTTCTCCTGCCACCAAAATTTGTAGAAAAATGCCGCCTTCTTGTGGTGAGTTCTGTATTCCTTTTGTTATCTTCCTTGTTCTCTCTCTCTCTCTCTCTCCCCCACTGTAAATATTTACTTTTCGTAGTTTTGATTATCTTTTTCGTTTTCTATGTGAAAATGGATATAGCACAACTGGGTGAATGGCTCGTGCACTTTGTGATTACAGACTTTCTTCTTTTCTTTTTCAATTCTAATAATTCCGTTCCATTCCATATTTGATTTGGTAGATGATGACGAAGAATATGAGGAGAGTGGTGGTAACCAGCTTTTGGGGTTTATGTTTGGGAATGTTGATAATTCTGGTGATTTGGATGTTGATTACCTCGATGAGGTAAAGTTCTTTCTGCTTTTATACTCTAATTGAACATATAAATAACAAATCTTGGCATTCGCAGCGTGAAAGTGCATTTCTTGACTTTGGTTGCAAGTTCTAGATCCCATCTCCGCATTGTTTTCCATATAAAAATAATGAAACTTAGATTGCATAATATGGCTGATAAAACATTCAGCATGTGTGGAAGTAAGTTGGTGTACAGTTATTGTATGAACATTTACAACAATAAAGAGAGAGTTCATGTCTCTTGGGTGTTAAAATTTGGTAACTTGGAGGATAGTTTTGATAATAGAACATGATTCTAGTTTGGTAACTCTCAATAATGGAGCATGATCCTAGATTTCTTCTTGTTGAGGAATTCACTAGAGTTTACTAAAACTGCATTATGTTTAGAGAAACAACATTTATTGCCTTGTATGTCAAGATTATACTTCTCTCCTCATATCGTGGTTGACAAAATAGAAGCTGGTAACAAAAAATTGAAACATCGAGTACATGTGTTTCCGTTTTCCTTCAATTTCTTTTGTGTTTTGATAGAAACATAAAACTAAAAATATGATAAGACTGTCTACCATGTCATGTTTTTCTTCACATTATTCTTGGGTCTTTCTATAATATTCTCTTGTACTCGTGTTTTAATTCTTTTTTTTGAAATAAAAAATGTAAAGTGTATCATTAGTTACATGCACCAAGGGGGTACAAAACCACGTACAGGAGAATATATGTATCAGTTAGCATGTCAAAAAGTTCTCATAGATTCTCCATTGAATACAGTTGTTGCTTTGTTATCAAAACACTGAGGATTTAGAACCATCTCTTTCTAATTTATCCAGACCTTTCTCCCCCCCCTCAAAAAAATTGCCGATGGAATGAGCCCCAAGTTCTTTTTCCAGCTCATAATATCTTTCTAAGCTCAAATATCCTTGTTGACAGTGCCATCCAGTGCTTGTGTTTTAATTCAGTTGACGTAAAGCTAGTGGAGTAATTTCTTCTCCAACTATAGTAAGAATTATTAGAAAAAGCTTGAATACTCAATATCCACCAAGAATTCAACATCAAGAGAAAATCCTTCCAAAACTTTAATGAACTTAAAAATCATTGTGCCATTGGCCTCTCTCTCATCTGTGTTTAGGCATACAAAATTTGGCTACCGCCACTATTCTGTACAAAGATTTTCTGATATAGAACTCTACAATGACTTGCTAGGACGTGTTAGGGGCCAAAATCCCATTTCCAAGCATTATATAATAAAATTTAAGTGAGGATTATCTTTTTCTTTTTTGTTTTGTGTTTTTTTTTCTAAAGGGTGAATGGTAATTTCCTTTTGAGTATAATATAATATAATAAATTGTCAAAACAGCACAACCATTAACATTGTTGTGAAAATAGAAGGAATCAAATGTAGTTATGGAAAATTGAATCTTAGTTCAAACTAGGGAAGCTACTGCTGTTGGTAATCTTCAGATCGTCATGATGAGATGCCTAGATTCCAGCCTTTGGGTTCAAAAGAAGCAGCGTTAAACATGTAGCTAATGTAATTGTTATTGCTTGGTTTAGTATTAGATGTTTCATGGTGGTGCATGAGGTCATTTAAATATTCGCTGTACTATTTCATATGAAAATAAGATAAGGGTTTGCTTGCTTTGAATTCATGAGTATTGAATTCCCATCTATAAGTGGACATTATTTTAAGTCTCTCTTCAGAGGTTCCAGCCAAGCCGCTAAGCTGTTATGTAGGATAGAGCCTCTTGATTTAGGACAAATAAGGATTGATTTGTTTGCTTGGGGATTTGAGGATAAAACTAGACATCACATTTAGAGCTTCATAGACATCATATCTAAGAAGGTTTAGTGTACCACCAAATGGTTTGATTGCGTCATATGACTAGAAAATTATGTTTAATAGCTCTCAAAGTATTTTGTTTTAGAAGTGATATTACCAAAATATTTATACTGCTTCCCAAGGTATTTGCGAATAGGATTGAATTAAAAAATATGAATACTAATATGATTAAGAAATACTACTACATATACAAATAGAAAATACAAAGAATAAAATCCTAAATTTACTAATGATAGACTCCTAAATAGTAATAGTTTTATATCTGCAAGAATTATAATTGCTAATATATTTTGGCAATTCCAGCCATTCTGCATCAGCCTGGCATTATGTTTGTTTTTTGTAAATATCAAGTGTGGACACGTTCTTCAATTTTCAGTATTTTTCACTAGTCTGTTCTCATTCTCCTGTAATTTTGCCTTTTTGCACATGAATGATTATTTTTCCAAATAAGTTATGTTGATCATCAGAATAACTTCCTTTTCCCAGGATGCGAAGGAGCATCTGTCTGCACTGGCAGACAAGCTGGGTGCATCACTTACAGATATAGATGTACGGTATCTATCTTTCTTTTTGTTGGACTTCTCAATGATTGTTCATCAGAATTAACGTAATAACTGGTGCATGTTTGTGACCTTTTGTCCCTTTGGTATTTAGAGGAACATTGGTAATATCATTCCTGATGTTTCATTTTTTTCTTGCTGTGCTAATTATGTTGTTGACCTTCCAGTTGTTGGAAAAATCATCTAATGTGCGAGCTGACAGTGCTGAACAAGGTGATCATCTTTGCCACTGATATACATAATGAAGTTTTAATATTCTTTTAGTATCTTTTTTTCTGTATCTAATTTTGGCCTTTTATTTATTTTAAATTTCTTATGCTTGAAAATTTAGAATCCTCATGATAAGCAGTTAGTTGAAAATAGTTTGTAGCAGACAATTATGTATGTTCAGAGGTAGAGGTTCTGTAAATGCATAATATGCTTTTACCCAGCAGTTATGAGTTTGAAGACAGTCTTTCAAATTTATATCCCCTGAAGCTTGACAACTCGGAATATATCCTTATTATTTTTAATCGAGAAAGTAGCTTGGCCTCCAGCAAACTGGTTTCTTCTAGTTTGTTTGCAAAGTTCTGGATGGATCTCCTTTCAAAGCTCACAACCTGAATCTTGAGCATTACGACTGTATTTTCCCATGCTTTGATATTTCAATTCTCTCTCTTTCCTTTTCTCTCTTTTTTTTGCATTTATTTCTCTTTATCTAAACTCTTATCAGATTGGTTTTGTAACTTGATTCCAAAACTTGATCATAGCCTTTAACGCTTAACAACAGGCTCCAGTTGGGTTAAAATAGTAAAGTTATATTTTTAAAAGGATCTTTCCAATTGTGCTCCTCTTCCTTTCTCTGTCTCTCCTCTCTTTTGTGCTGATTGGTCTCTTTGTATTTTCTGGTTTTTCCCTCTTCAAAAGCTGTTGACATTCTACTGTTATACTTGACTTGGATAAATCTCTTTCATACTTTTTAAATTTGATTTTGAAATATTAGCCAAATATCTATGATTTTCATACTACACATAAGGTTCACATGCTCAGGTGCAGTCTTTATCACGGATGTTGGTTAGTCAACAATTATGACATGAAAAACATGAGGAATGTTACAGGTAGATAACATGTTAATGTCCATATCCTATCAAGTAAACGCATAGAAGGGAAAACTCCCTGTTCTCTATCTTGGTTCATTTGTTAATATACGGAGTTACTAGAGTGGTGGTAAGTTTTTCTACCTACAACATGTAAGGGCCTAGGGAGGAGCAACATGGATCATGATGTTCATGATTTTGTTTTACAGTGTGGTAATTTATCAAGTTTTGAGTTCTAATTGCAGAGAACATGTGATTTGCTAGAAGAGTTGGTGGTTGAAGTATTGAAAGATCCTGTTTACTTTGATGCCTTTGGGGACCTATATTCTCCATTGATTTGCGTGAAGAAAAGAAAAATGTATTTCTTTTGGCTTAACTATAATTTGAGTGTCTTCAGTATATGATATTCCAATTTCTGAGCATGAAGTCTATAGATGTTATCTCTTGTTGCTGGAGAAAGGTATTAATTACTTCCTGTCTGGAGCATGATACATGTGGTTTTCCCTTGTTGGTCTTTTATTCTTCCAACAAATAAGAACTATATGCCTTCAGGTTTTGGTCTAAGAAATTCTTTGATTGCCTTTAATAGATTATGATGCGAAGGCTGAAGATGCAGTCAACTATGAAGATATTGAGGAACAATATGAGGGGCCGGAGGTTCAAGCTACCAGTGAGGAGGACTATTTGCTTCCAAAAAAGGATTTTTTTTCTTCTGAAGTTTCTTTGGGTACTGCAGAACATACAAATTCTGTATTTGATGATGAAAATTACGATGAGGATGTGGAATGTGAAAACAATCAAGGTGCAGTGGAGAGACAAGATGAAACTACAGTTATAACTACAATTTCAGGTTTAGCTTTGATCCTCATAGCTGTTTGTTTCTTATATTTGTGTTTCTTCCCCAGTCATATGTGTTGTCTAAGCACCCACAGAACACACATATCAAAGTGAAAGCGATGGTAAAAGAAGGAACACAATGAATTTTAATGTGGTTCAGCTATGTGGCTATTCCAGGGAGCCACCTGTGAAATCTTTCACTGTATGGGCCACAGCTTAACAATATGTTCTTCATTTCTTTCAGGGCTATAAATGTTTACTTATAATTATGATTTCCATCCTTCTGCTTGAGAAAATTATGTGCTTTTTATCCAACATTTTTTTAAAAATAAAAGAGAAATATGTTATTATAGACAAAATTACCAAGGAGTTATATAAAATAATTACATATTAATCAAGTGATCAATAACCATCCCAATCTCTTTCAAATCTCTCATGTCATGACCCAACAAAATAGAATAAAAATGTTAATCCATCTATCTCTAGTTTTTACGAAGTTAGTTTCAATACCCTTAAAAGCTCTCGTATTTCTTTCCTTCCATACTACCCAAAAAATGGTAAGCAGAAATAAAAATAAATGTTTTTTCGTTTTACATATACCCAACCAAGCCTACATTTCCTTACTAACAGTGTCCGTGATAACTCTATTCATTCCCATAAGCCCATAACCCATTGTCCAAATATTGTAAACAGCTGGGCAATTGAGCGAAATATGATTGCATGTTTCCATATCAGCTTTACATAAATAGCATCTATTTACCAAAGTGTTGCCTCTCCTTTTCAGCATATCAGTAGTTAGGATACTTTCTCGAGCAGCTTCCCAAGCAAAAAAGGACATTCGAGGGGTAGCTTTTGATTTCCAGATCTGCTTGTAAGGTGCTGTCAGCTTCTCACTTCTCTCTCTTTTACATAAATAGTTGTAATAGGACTTCACTGAGGAGCCCTTTTGCTTGTCAGATTTCCAAATTCTGCCGTCTTTATTCTCCATCAGCTTGATATCAGCTAAACAGAGAAGCAAGTTGCAATATTCTTTAACTTCCCAATCCGTCAAATTTCTTTTAACCCAAACATTCCAACCTCTGCCCCCACCACCTTTCTCATACACTTTCTCCACCAAGATACCTCTCTCAAAAACAATGTTATAAATGTTCGGAAATCTATCCTTCAATTTAGCCTCACCCAACCATTCATCCTTCCAAAAATGAATTCCCCCCCACCCTCCCCCCCCAATTCCCAACGTGCCACTCATCACACTCCAGAAACCTACTGCCACACCTAGTGATTTCTTCCATAAACTCATCCCATGCGGTTTATACTTCCTCTCCTGCTATCCCGTTTCCAATCCCGCCACCTAGTCTCCACCACCATTTTCCATAATTTTCGTTACTCGATGACAAACCTCCTCAGCCATTTACCTTGAACCGCACAATTTATCTCCACAATAGATCTTAGACCAAGACACCCCCACCCCTCTGCCCTTAACATACATAGACTTCTTTACATCTTCCCACGTCACTAGATGGTACTTCCTATTCCTCTCATCATCGTTCCGTGGGAATCTATATTGGATCCTCTCAAGTTTAGCCACAACACTAGCTGGAATAGTTAGAATAGACGTACCTTATTTCCTGACCTCCTCTTAAGCACTGTATTAAGAAGAGGTCTCCATTCCCTGGAGATAAAGAGAGACATTGACCTGGAAATTTCATTAATAATTATGGTCAAGGTTTATCTAATCTGTTCGTGCTTGCTGCTTCGAATTTTATTTGTGATGACTTTTGATCTGTTTATTTATATAAAGTTTCCATAGTTTCTGATTCATAAGTAGGAAGAATTTCATATGTGGTCTTGCTTCGTTTTTTGGGATTTTCTTAGCTAAGAATGAAACTTTTCTACTTAACTCAACTTCTCCATGGGATTTGAAATTGTGGCTTTGGAATATTATAAGCACATGATTTACATGCCATTTCAGCATTGCACAAAGTGAACTTATCATGGATTTCAGAATTCTACTTGCATTTTGAGTCCGTATCATGTGTATCTTTGTTATCTTATGAAGTTTTATGTGATGATGATAGATCTAGTTTACCCTATGTGCCAAGTTTTTTGGACTTTTAGTTCCGCATTTAATGGTGAGAACCCTGGTTGTGAGTATGAGAAATAGCAATATATAAGAGGCTCATGAAACTTACCCAGTTTGATTTTTGGCACTTCTCATTTTTCTTAACCAGTTTGGCAAACGTTTATTTCTGGTTTGTTAAGTTGCCTTTATGTAAGGAAAAATTATTTCTTTAAGTTTCCTGTCCTTGTACACAATAGCCATCATGCAGTTTATAGAGGTTTGACATATTTGGTTAGCCATGGCGTGTGTTGAAAAATGTATCAAGTGGTATGGTTGTCTCTCTGGTTTGTGAGGCATGGGCATATTTTTTAGTTGTTTGAAACCTTATAATAGGAAAACTTGGAGCATGATGGGCTCTCGTCCTAAAAAATTACCAAAAGTTTACTTCTAAAATCAATGTGTTTTTTGGAGAGCAAAATTGGCTCTCAGTGTTATTTATCAGCCTTGCTAAGTTGTTTGTTTGTTGCTTATTAAGCATGCTAATGCTACTTAATAATACAGGGCGATACTTTTCCTTTCTGAGTTATGAACATGTACAAAAATGATGATTAATTGGATTTATCAGTGTTCAGAGCATCTATGGCTTATGAAAGTTACTTACCCCTGGAATTTTGTTTTCTTTAAAGATGGTTTTCCCTTCTTGTAGAAGATTATGTAATTTCTTAACATGAAAGCTTCTCCTGCCTTCTCATTTTCACAGGTGATATTCTACTGACTTTAGTATCATACTTTCAGGTGAGTATCTTGTTGACATGTCAGAGGGAGAGAAATCTCCTGGACATGATAGGCAGCTGGGCTTACTGAATGCTGATAATCAGTTAGAAGTTGCAGAAGATCTTCAAGAGGTCCTTCTTTTCCCCATTATTCTGGTGAATCATCATTATATTTGGAACCAGCCACTCTTTGTAGTGTGGTTGGTTCCCTCCCTCACCATGAGGGAGTGGGTTGAGTATGCGTATATGCCAATGTAAAATGGGCTCGAAGGGAAAAAAAGAAAAAGAATCATTGTTAACTTTGGATATGTAAATATTTTATTATATAAAGGATGTCAACTACATACTTCAAAGTTACAAAATCAACTGCTAATCTTGCTGGTAAAATCCCTTCCTGGGAACAAACTTCTGAAGAAGTTGGATTATCAGTGGAAATTTCATCTCCCCCATAAGAAACATGGCAATTTCATTACTTCTGCATGCTCATAAATGGAAGCAAGACAGAAAAACCAGATTGGTTAGAGTAGAGCAGCTAATTTTCATTCTTTGTTTTGACAATTTGGTCTACGTCTTATTATCCTGTACAAAATTCAACAGGTGGTGGCTGATGTTCTTGAAGGCCCATTAGATGGTAAATCTTTGACTTCGTTGCCTGTTTTGTGCATAGAAGATGGGATGGTAATCTTACGCTTCTCTGAAATATTTGGTATTCACGAGCCCTTGAAGAAAGAGGAGAAAAGAGGCCATCGATATTTTACATATAGAGGTATGCCATTCTAATAGGCAGTGTCTTCCTTCCAACTTTATCTTGCAATTGTCAATCGGACTTTTACTGCCACAGTGCAATTTGCTTGTGCAAATAACTTTTGCACCCTGCTAAGTACAATTTGTTTACTTTTGATTCTTAGTGGGCTTGTTATATTGTGCTTCTCTTGATTTTTCCCCACCTTTATATGTATCCATCTACCAATTACCATGTTTAATTTGCACTTTCTTGTTGAAACATTTTCAGTTTTCCCTTTTGTTATTTCAGAGAAATACAAATGTATGGGTACTTCTGATCTTTTTGAAGAGGATGAAGAGGCATTTCTGAAAGGTGATCCTCAAGGGTTTTCAATTGTGAAAGAGGAAGAAGCAATTCAACATGATTTTATGAGTGATGATGGCTCAGACTTGGTAAAACTTGGTGCCATAGGAAATGTTTCAATCCCTTCGCAAGTTGATGAGCCAAGAAAGGACTCTTGTGTTAGTGGGGAACCAATGGAGGACTTAACATTTAGTTTCTCTACTGGATGGCAGTCACAATTGTGTGCGATTTTTCCTCTTGATCAGCAACAGTGGGAGGAGAGAATTCTATGGGATGATTCCCCTGCAATGAGTGATAATTCTCAGAGTTCCAAATTTTCTGGACCTGACCTTGAAGGTTGGCTCAGTAGAGAAAGAGATCCAGAGGCTGGGCCTCGAGAACATGTTCAGATGGATCTCATTGTGAAGCCGGATGGGAGGGATCATACTAGCCTTGTGCATAACTATCCTGTTCTGTTAGAGTCATTTGATTCAGATAAGCCTTCCGGAACTGTGGACCTGCCAGTTTTTGAAGGCTACTTTCATCCTCAACTCTTGAGACTAGAATCTCGGCTGGAAGTTGGTGCTTCTAATCGTGGAGATGATGGACATGATAATTTGGCTGTAGAGCTCCTTCAAAGCGATGTCTTAAGGCACTTTAACAAGCTTACCTTACAAAACAGAGACATGATGGAAGAGTCATGGTTAGATGATATCATATGGGAACCACATAAATCTATTTCAAAGCCTAAGCTAATTCTTGATCTTCAGGATGAGCAAATGCTTTTTGAAATCTTGGATAACAAGGATAGTGGACATCTAGAGCTTCATGCTGGGGCTATGATATTATCTCCATCTGTAAAGCTCAGCAATGGTGATTCTTTTGAATTACATGGTCGTAAATATCAGTCTGGTTGGCAGTTCAATATTTCTAATGACAAGTCCTATATAAATGGAAAAACCTTTCAGCAACTGCAATCAAATTCTAATAAGCGAATGGTTCACTGTTTTAAAATTCATCATTCAGCACCAGCACTTAAGCTTCAGACGATGAAACTGAAGTTAAGCAAGTAAGAAGAACTCCTATACCTTCTTAGTTGTTGTTAATATTGTTAAAGTCTTCATTGATATCTCTTTTCAGTTTTATCCCTTTTATCTCTGTTCAACATGTTCTGGTGTCCAGCCTTTTTTATTTATTTGGCACCCTCTTCAGATGCATTTAAGTGTAAATACAGTTTCCCTGAGTTCACAAGATGAACATAATGTATAATAATCACACTCAGTCAGGATTAGCAAATTATTTATCTAACTACTGAAGTGGAGTTGAGGGAGCTGCTTATGTTATCTGATTCCCTTAGATGGTATAAGGAAACAGGAAGAGTTGGTTATCATTCTTGTTTTGGCCGAGTTACTGCCCCTTTTGTTTAAGCTGAAGGAATTGATCCCTAGTAAAAGTCTCATCCACCATACATGGTGGAGAGGAGTCACCATTGGGTCCAAGGCTATTTAGTTTGGTTATCAAAGAATTAAATTAGTAAAAAAGAAAGAATGAGGTCCAATACTGGATTCTGCTGACAAGAAATTTTTTTTATCATTTGTGTTAGGTTTTGGACAGTGACGAAAATCTAGCAAATTTACACTCAGTTTTGTAATTGTTTTTTGTTTGAAAGAATGTCCATTATGACAGTTATTATCATACTAACAAAATCTATGTTTAGAAGATGTTCAACATTAAGAAAATTATGGATGGTTGTAGTTCCTAAAAAGGGTTTTATGATTAATTTCGGGTCATATAAATCATTTGTCATAGTATCATTTAAGTAACAAGGAAAATAGATCACTGAAAGAGGGGAAAAAGAGAGCATCTGGAATAGTATTTGATTTCTCATCTATAGCATATTTGATAGAAAATTCTTAGAATAAAAGCTTCCTAAGTTTTTCTTTTAGTTTCTAATCTCAATGTCCTTGATGTGGGCAATTGGGTTGAATCTCATTCTTCTAATCTTCAACGGATATATATCTATTGGAACTCGTATTTTGAGAGATAAACGTGTGATCTATTTACTCATATTTTCCTCATACTCATAAAGTCATTTTACAGGAGTTTGATATACTTGTTTGCTTCAGCTGCATGTGGGTGATTATTTTTATGTAATTCTTCATCTAAAGGTAAATGAACTTATACTTCAATCTAATTAGAGAGTATTTGAGATTTGCTTATTTGTTGCTTATAAGCAACTTTAACCACTCAGCTCTGACCTCCGTGTTTGGTAATAAAAAAAGATGTTCATTAAGTTCTTGAGAGTGACTTTAAGAGGTAGATAATATGTATATAATTTATGTATATATATCTTATAGAAAAAGAAATATTATAAGAAAGAAGAGAAAAAAGCACAACATTGGAAGACAAAAAATCATCCTCAGCATATTTCCAAAAAAAAGTTATTCCTAAGCTGGAAAAAAGGAAAGGAAAATAAGGGGAAGAAAACCATCAAAGGAGGAATGCATCCTTATTTTTTTGCAAAATAGTCAAAGAGCCATCCCTAAATATTAGGAGCCTTGGCTTAGGAAGCAACAAAAAAAACATTCTGTTCCATAGGAGAGACGCATGAAAATATCGATCCTCAAAGAGTCTAGCATTAGTTTTGCAACCATAACACCCCTAAACCAGCTGATATAGCTCCTCTACAAAGCACATTAGCTTCCTTTAAGGAATATAGAAAATGTATTCTGACTATTGACAAGTCGATGAGAAGGGGGAG